ACTAATATGTATATTAATATCAGAAAAAATTGATTGCAGAACAAAATGCCAGTGATACCAGATCAATACTAGATTACCAGAAATAAATAAGCTCCTTACAGATCAATAAAATGTTCAAGTCACCAGGAAGATATAGCAATTCTAAAGTTGTTTATAACTATTTACAAAGCTTCAATAGTGACACAGTTACAAGGAAACTTTAACAAAATTTGCATATCAATAAGCAGCCAAAGCTCCAGAAAAAATATAGAGCATTTAGCCAGATAAACAAACAAGACTTAAGTATATAGTACACTGAACCCAACTGTAAAATGTACATTTTTTTCAAGTGCTCATAGAACATTCACCAAAACCTTTCATATGTTACACTATAAAGAAAATCTCAGTAGATTTCAAAGAACTGAAATCATACAAAGTTTGTTTTGTGAAGAGAATGAAAGACTGGAAATAGCAAGGGCACTGATCTGTTAAACAGAAACTTGCCCTAGCCCAAGGTCTGGCAGGGATTAAGGGATGCCTCCTGCTGTGCCAGGCATTAACCCTTTAGTTGCAAGATGATAATTAGTAGGTCCCAGCAATCCTGGAAAAGGGACTGAGATGGTCAGGACAAGTGGGTAAGTGTCGGAGAAACTAAGAAACCTTGAGCAGTGCTTACTTACCCAATTTTCTGGAAATATTTTACAAATTCATATGTCCTTACAATTGTGCATCTGTGGAATATCAGCCCTGTTTAATAGGCCAATTATAGCATTAGAAGCTTATATTTTAAAAAGTCTGAAAATTAATGAACTGAGCATCCAACTCCAGAAGTTAAAAAAGAACAGCAGAATAAATTCAAAGAAAATGAAAGAAATAGGATAATAAGAAAAATAGTTGACTAGAAAACAAAAACATACAGAAAGAATAAAAAAGCCAAAGGTCGATTATTTTTAAAACCTTATAAAAGTAACAAACTTCTGGAAAGATTGATCAAGAGGAAAAAAGATATGGTAAAAATAAACAATATTAGAACAAAAGAGAGGATATATGTGCAAATGCAATAGAGATTTTTAAAATATAAAGATAGGAACTTTATGCAAATAAATTTGAAAATTGATGTGAAATAGAAAAAATTCTAGAAAACCATAACTTAACAAAACCGACAAGTAGAAATAGCAAACTGGAGTGATTCAATAATTATTCAACAGATTGTATCAGTTAAAATATTTCTTACGAAGAAGATACCAGGCCCCAATGTTTTTACATAAAATTGTGCCAGATATTTAAAGAACAGATAGTTCCTTGGACCACCTATGTCATAAAATAGAATAAAAGAAAATAGCTCCCACTTCATTTTATAACACCAAAACCAAATAAGGAAATAGAGAACGAAAAAAATTACAGGCTGATCTCATTTATGGACAAAATTCTAAATTCCTAAACAAAATATTAATGAACTAAATCCAAGCAGTTTTTATTTGTCATGGTACTGCAAGATTGGTTCAACACAATAAAAAATCTCTAATGTAATTTACTTTAACAAATTAGAGTATAAAATGAGCATGTTGCCCAGCCGGGTGAGGTTCAGCGGTTGAGCATCAAACTAGGATCCAGGAAATCTTGGTTCGATTCCCGGTCAGGGCTGGGGGCTCGATCCCCAGTCCGGGGCGTGCAGGAGGCAGCCAATCAATGACTCTGTCTCATCATTGATGTTTCTCTCTCTCTCTCTCCCTCTCCCTTCCTCTCTCTGAAATCAATAGACATATTTTTTAAAAAATCAGCATGTCATCTCAGTGGATCCAGAAAACACCTTTAATAAAATTCAACATCTTCTCACTTGAAAATAATCCTATTGGCAAATTAAGAATAAACTGAACTTCCTTAGCCTGTTAAACGGTATCTACAAAAAAACTACAGCAAACTTACTCAATAGTGAAACTTTAAAAGCATTCCTTTTAAAATTAGGATCAACATAATGTACACTATAAACATTTCTATTCAACGTTGTACTGAAAATGATGTGTGTATATTGAAGTGCAGTAATAGAAGAAAAAGTGACTAAAAAGATAAGGATTGTAGGAGAATAAAGAAAACTCATTTACATACAAATTATCAAAATTAGCCCTTGGCCAAGTGGCTCACTTGGTTGGAGCATCATCTCGTACACCAAAAAGGTTGTGGGTTCGATTCCCTGTCAGGGCACATGCCTAAGGTTTCAGTTTTGGGTTTGATCCTGGTCTAGGTACGTACAGACGGCAACCGATGGATATCTGTCTGTCTCTCTCTGTCTCTCTCCCCCTTCCTCTCTAAAATAAATAACATACTCAGGTGAGGATTTTTAAAAAAGTAATGATTTGGTCAGGTTTGCTAGTTACAAATGCAATATAAAACAAACTAATTATATCTGTATACATTAACAATAAACTGCTATAAAATGTAATTTACTAAAAAGGTATTATTTAAAATATCAACAAAAATAATTTAAAAATTTTCTTCTGATGATGTGCAAGCCCTTTTAAATTACAAAACTTTACTCAAATGACATGAAAATAATCTAAATAGATGGAGAGACATACCATGTTTACAGAAGACTCAATATTGCAAAGATGTTAACTCTCCTTAAATTGATCTACAGATTGAATGTAATTCCAATCAAAATTCCCAAAGGTATTTCTCTGTGTGTGTGTAACTTGGTGTAACTTGAAAAGCTGATTCCAGAATTTATGGGGACAACTTTTTCATTTTATTTAATTGCATTTTATAACCCCAAACTAGAAACTAGCTAAATACTCATGAACATCAACATGAATAAATACACTGTGGGATAGTCACAAAATGTAATATTACACAGCAAGGACAATAAACAAGCTACAATTGCATGCAACAATAATATAGATGGCCAGCAAAACAGCGGTGAATGAGAGAAACAAGTCACAGATTAATATACACAACTGTTCAAGCACTTTATACATGTTAATGCATTTAATCCTCAGAACAACCTCATTAAGTGATTGTATGCCTCCCCTCCCCAGCCACCCCCTTTGAGGCCAGGCAGGTCCTCTAGAGAGGATGCTCCAAGCAAAAGATTTAGATATTTCTGGGGTAAATAACCTGGCCTCCCCAGCAAAAAAGGTGAGGCAGACATTGCCCAGGCAGCATGTGGCAAACGTCATCTAAGTTTATTGCATCTGTGATCTTACATAATTCAATCAATCACGTAGTCTTTCACACAAACAGCTCCTTGCTTGGCTATGGTGAGTAGTAGAGTGGAAGTAACACAGAGGGACCATTTGCTGAGCACCTCTATATGCCATGCTCTGTGCTTGATGCTAGGTATATGATGGGGGAAAGACCACACACCCACCTTCCCGTTTAAATAATATTTATTAAGTGTTTACTATAAACGGGACACTTTTCTAAGCGTTTTATGTGCTTTAGCTCTCTAATCTTCACAACACTATTACTACTTTCTTTTTATAGATGAGAAAATGAAAGCACAAAGAAGTTAAGAGACTTGTCCAAGGTCACAGAGGCAGGAGCTGGGACTGAAACCTAGGTAGTCTAAATCCAGAACCTCTGAATCACTGAATCGCCCAACAATATGGGGAGGTAGGTATTGATCCTGTTTTACAGCTGAGGAAAGAGCAGCTCGGTACTAAAGTGAGCACATATTTATTTTGTACCCTTTATGTGACAGAGACTATATTAGGTGATGGATGTATATTATTTCTCCAATCTAAAAGGAAGTTCCCAGGAATATAAGGGTCCTAACTCTGGAGAACCCAGGTATGCAGAGAGTGGCTTGTCTGCATGCCAGCTAAACCCAACAGCCCCTTAGAAAAGATCAAGAGTGACTGAGTGGGTTACAGTGAGATGCAATTCTGTCTCATCCAGGTTCCTAGATCTCCAAATGAGTTTGTGAAACTGCTGGTGGGAAGGAGGAGAAAGGAGAACATAAAGCTGGGTTTCCCCCACTCTTTCTCTTCTTCCTACATCTACACCCTATATCCTACATACTGTATTTACCATCCTACATCTTCCTGGATCCTCTAAGCAACTACCTCTCCCCCCACACTAGCCTTGACCCTGGACCTCCTGTAGCATTAGCATAGTGGAAGCTTTGTCAGCTGATCCTTGAGCTGTCTTGGTCTCACAGTCCACAGCTGTCTTATCTCTGCCCACCTTATGGCTCCTCAGGCCATAATCCTTGAGCTAGAGGCACCTTGGTCCACAACTGTCCCTTATTATTTATGGGAAATGGTATGCTCCAGTTTTTTAAAAATTGTTTTACAGGTTTCATTTGCTTCTCCTTCACCCTTCCGTTTTCTTAAATTTCAAAGTGAACATTACACCAACAGGCTGTCCCTGAGAAGACTGAGTGTCTTCTTCTTCTCTCTGAGGAGAGCAGTAAAAGTGTCCATATGTGCCAAGAAGGCAATGTAGGAGACAGAACACCCAGCCCTTCCCAACTCAGTGAAGTATAGATTTATTAGAAGAGGCTTGAGAAAGGGGAGGAGCAAAACTGACCAATGATATGGTTGTGTACCCAGCACCTGTCCCCTGAGAAACTATTCTAGGCACCATCACCTTATTTCACCCAAGCACTATCAGACAGGACCAATTTTTAGACATTTCACTGAGGTCATCAAAATGAAATATTCTCAGCTAAGCACTGAACAGCTCCAAACTAGAAAAGTCAAATTTCAAACAAGAAGCATTCCAAATAAGCTCAAGATGAGAAAGAAAAGTTCCTAGTCAAAAACGCCTCTGATTAAATGGTCTTGACCCAATCAACCCTCATTCCTTCTGTCTTTATCTCTTTTTGTCTTTCTCTGTCTCTTTCTCTACCTTTTCTGACATTACCCTCTTGTTATGTTATAGTTACTTCATCCAGCTGTTCATCTATTCCAGCTTCCAGGGTGGGGTATGGGTGGAAGGGGGAAGCATGTCCTTTGCTCTTCTTCTACACCCACTTTACCACCACCACCACCTTGAAGCCCACAGAAGCAAACCCCACTTACAGCCCCGCCTCCGTTGCAGCCCACTGCTGTCGTTGCTGTGTGGAATCCAGATCTTCTGTAACCTGGTTTGGGTAAGCTCTTCCATCTCTTGAGACATCTTAGGTGTCACAGCTAGTGACACTACTGTCCACAAGGTACCGGGCCTCACTTCCTGTCTTGCTAACTGTCTCTTCTGTTGATGTGGCCACAGCAGCAGGTGGACAGTGTTGGGACAGGGAAGTGAGCTGGGCTTCTGAGCCCTCTGGCAGCCTGTCTCCAGCCTCCTCTCCTTTTTCCTAGTCCTTGCCTGTCTTTGCTCCTGTATGTACCAGTGGGGGCTTGGGTGCAGAGGGAGAGGTTGGGCAGAGGTCAGCAGAGGCCTCTGAACTCCAAGAGCTGTGTACATAGGAGATAAGTTCCTTCCAGCAAAGGAGGGCAGCCAGCAAGACAGCCCAGGTCTGGCCAGTAACTTCCCTCCAATGAAGACAGGACTAGTAGAGTATGCAAATAAAAGACCAAAGATCATGTGCTTACATCCTGTGTAAGGTGGGGAGGCAAAGGTGATGGAGGCAGGTCCCAGCAGCTTTCACAGCTTTGAAATAAAATATGGGCCCAAGTAGAATGTCAAGGTTCAACCCGGAAACAGAGATACACATCAGAAAAGAAAGTTTCCCAAGTACGAACACACATAGCCGGTACTGAAGAATGCAATGTTTTGATCTAGCAATCAAAGGCCCAAACTGGAAGTGCGAGGTTCACTACCTTGCTACCCCACCCTCTTCTACAAAATGGCATTGCAACACTTGTGTTCCCCAGAATTTTGCTCCCTTTCCTATTGCAGGGCCTCTCCTCCTAAAATGTGCTGCCTGGGGCAGTCTTGGAGAGATGAGCACTATCTAATCGTCTTTATGCTCTCTCCAGCCAAAGCTAAATAAATCAGAGTAAACCTGATACCTCTGGGAAGAGGAATGAATGCAGCCATTGCTGGGGGAGAGATGGCAAGCACTACCCACCCACATGGCTGCCAGCAGCTATTGGATGCCCCAGGGAGAAAGGCAATGTGATCTGACTCAAAACCTGGCTAAAGTTTCTCATGCCAAGCCATAGCAATGAAGGTTTAGGGTGGAGGCTGCAGCAGGCTGAGTGTGGGGAGCAGGGAGCAATGGACTCAAAGTAGGACATCCTACCCAGATGTCTCCACTTTACCCTCCCTCTCTCCCTGGTTGTATTGAGACTTTTGTGTAGAACTCATCTAAAGACACAGCTTACCTGGAAGGTGTCCAAGTGTGCTCTTACTTCATTATTTTGCAACCTTCCCACCCCCTGATGAACCTCCAGTGATTGGCTACAAGGAAGCTCAACTTTCTTCCACTCAGCTGGGCTATGCAGGGGCAATCTCTTGGGGATAGAAATCTCCAACCCCTGCCCTCCAATGCTCTTAGCTCCACTTTGCCTTTTAAGAAGTTCCCTAAAGTACATTCTCAGTGTCCTAGTCTATACGGGTTAGATTCCCTCCAGTTGTTGATAAATCATATCAAACTTTCAATACATTTCGTAGCCTGCCCATGTAAATGAATCTACTGAGGCAGTGGATCACAGTGGTGAAGAGCAATGGGCTCCTGGAACCAGCTCTGCCTCTTGTTATGAGACCCAGGGCAGAAGACAACTTCTCAGTGCTTCAGTTTTTTCATCTGGTAAGAGTCCCTACTCCCTTATGGTTGATGAAGATTCAACATGTTAATACATGTAAAGCAACCTGGGAAATGCTCAATGTATATCACCTAACACTGTGATTCCCTTTGTGAAGTAAATGATCAATCATCTCTTTGGCAAATGTAATGCTTAGCAGACAGGAAACAGTTGGTAAAGGAAATTTACAACATTATGACAAAGGGTTCACATTTATCATAAATAAAGAGCTCCTGCCAATCAACTAGAAAGATGAATTCACTTTTACTTTTTTGGCTTTGTGAAGTCCGCTAGAAATTGTTTCATCCAACTCTCTCAGGTAAGAAAATGGAGGCCTAGAGAGGGAAGCATTTTCCTAAGGCCCTGTAGCAAATAAGTCACCAAGTCAGAAGTAGAACACTGGGCACCAGATTTCTCCCAGTCCAGGGCTTTTCTTTGGTTAATTGATCAATCTAGCTTGATTTAAGAGTATGTTCTACATTAGCTCAGAACCTTTAAAGCAGGGGTGGGAAACCTTCTTTTTGCCAAGGGCCATTTGGATATTTATAACATCATTCACGGGCCATACAAAATTATAAACTTAAAAATTAGCTATGAAAAAAGCGCCCAGATTTATTGAATTTCAAGTCCCGCCTACAGTTGCCTTGGTAGGGCCAGACCTATACAGCCTGTGGGTCGGATGTTCTTCACCCTTGCTTTAGAGTCTCAGAACTAGATTTTGAAAGATATATAACTCTCTTAATCCTAATAAGCCTCTTAATAAATATCACTCTGCTAATGCTAATAATCTTAATAACTCTTTACATGTATGTTTTTCATGGCCCACAAAGCAGCAACATATTCCTTATCCTAGTTGCTCCTTACAAACATTTTCACTAGCCTCACAGGGAAACTGAGGTCTAGGGGAGGGAAGGGGCTTGTCCAAGGTAATCGAGCCAGTAACATGAACCCTCTTCTGTTTACAATTTTGTCCTCATGATACTGCCAAGAGGCAGAAAGATAATTTTAGCAGTAGGAAATCTGATATAGGAGGCCAGCAGGCTTTTGGCAAGGTGTAAAATGGTAAACTTAGGGTCCAATCTTGAAAATCCAACTTAAAACTACCTGGAATTAGCTATTTATTTATTCTTTACCACTGTTATCAATTCTGGTCCCAGAAGCAGAACTAAACAAGCTTATGGAAAGGGCTCAGACTAGCTTTTGTCAATCAAGCCCCAACCTACCTCCCCACTCATGTATCTGTTTAGACCCTTATGCTTAAAGTACACTGGCAGACTCACTGGGCCTCAAAACATACCATGTACTTTTTTTTGGCCTCTGGGCCTTTGCTTACCCTGGAATGCCTTCTCTTCCCTTCCATTCTCAACAAAATACAACTCACTCTTCAAGCCCTGGTTCAATGTTTGCCTCTTTGGGAAACTTTCCCTGTATCCTCGGGACAGATTTTGTCTTTGGTTATCATATTAACTATATGCTTCCATGTATCTGAGCAAGTATCCCTACTAGACTGTGAAATCCTTGAGAATGGGAACTGGATCTCAGCTATTTGTGATGTATCTTTCCAGCTTCCAGTTAAGGCCTTGGCACTTGCTCAATGAGTGTTTGTACAATCTACATCTCTTTGCCCTAGATGAGATGAACATGTTGAATAATCCCCATTCAACAAGATAATGTTATACAGAGAGCTATGCAGGACCCTGGGTGGAGAAACTAACTTGGTCTGAAGACAGAAAGTGGCATCCAGAAAGTTTCTCAACCTTGAATGGGGCAGAACAGAATAAATAAAAGAAGGAACTCCTCCCTAAAAAGGTCCAGTTAACTGGTTAAAGAACAAGGGTTCACTCAGTACCAGAGACTCACCCAAGACCAAAAGCTGAGCCACAAATTCTAGAATGGGGTAAACTCTGGAGAGGAAAAGCCTACAATGTGACTTCCTGAGGCCCACAGATCCTGATCATCCTCCCAAAGTGTGAGGTATGTTAGTGAATCCCATTAAAAGCAGTATCAAGATAGGACGGATGGGTAATAAAATCACCAGTGGGGTTTCCCTACTGGTAATTCTTGGAGTGTGTGGGTGTGAATGCATTTGAGAGGGGTTAGGGTGCAGACGGGAGATTGGCCACATGCTTACAGGTCAGGTGCCTATATATAAATATCAGGTCTTCCAATGCAGCAGCCTAGGATCTACTTCTTTCTTAGCTACTGCCTTGGCCCACCATCCCCCACTATTTTCAGCCCCATGCATTGGGCCCAAGGCTCACTGCATCCTAATTCTAGGACTGGCTCTTCACAGACCATAGTCACTCAGGGAGAAGAGCAGCTAGAGGGTTGTGGGTGGCATTGCCTGTCGAAGCTACATAAAAAGCAGGATAACCAATGTCAGACAGAACATAGAAGTCCTGAAATATCTCTAAAGAGCTTTGGTTCCTGTCCTTCCACTCCTCTTCACCTAGAGACAGTCCTCTAAGGGAAGTAGGCTAAATACTTCAATTTCCATTTTAGTAAGGAGGCTATTGAAGCCCAGAGAACTAAAAAGCCTTGTTCAAAGTGCCATAGCAAACCAGCCCTACCTCATACACTGGGGGAAGTAAAAGACATAATCTCTATCACCCACTTCATTCAAAACTGAAGTAGACCAAGTTAGAGAGACTTCTAAAGGCACTAGGGAACTACCCTTTGGGCCAGTGTCCCACAAAGACAGGTCAGAAGGATGATATAGATAGATAGATAGATAGATAGATAGATAGATAGATAGATAGATAGATAGATAGATAGATGATAGATAGATAGATAGATGATAGATAGATAATTAGATATAGATATCATCTTTTCCCCAACTCTCCCACACCCTTTAATGCACACTCCAAGTGACCACCTATGCAAATAAAAAATCACAACACTTTCCAGACAGCCTAAAGAATGGATTTGGATTTGTGTAACTCCTTTTTCCTCTGTTTCACCTACCTGTTCTCTTAGAGGTTTTTTCTTCCATTGCTAATTATCCGACACGCAGTCCTCTTCTACTTAGACCCCCCAGACAGGTCCAGTGGGTGGCGTCAAAGAGGGAGCCTGGAGCCTTCCGTTGGTTCCCTGGGAAGGCTGGGGAAGCACCCTTGGTAAGAGGGGTGTGTGTGTGCTCTGTTGAAATATCAGCTGTTGTAGTTGCCAAAGAAGTTCCTGAGCCACCCAGAGCCTTTTCTCTTCAGGCTAACCATGTGTTCACCTTGCCCCAAAGGTCAGAACTAATATTAACAAGCCACTGCAGAATGGGAAAATTAAAACCAGCAACTGAGACAGGCGAGATCTGTATGTATTTCCTTGGGGCTAAATTTCAGATTGTTCCTCAGTGTAAGTGGGCATGATCCCTTACTGGAAAGTGATTTGGCAATCTGAAGCAAGAGCAATAAAAAGGTTCATTTCCTTTGTCCTCGTTATCCCACTCCTGGGACTCAATCCTGAACCAAAATCACCAAAGCATGAAAAAGTTCAAAGCACCACATTTTAAATTTTAATTGCAGAGCTGTTTTTCTGATGGCAACAACTGGAAGGTAACCTTTAAGTCCTCCAGGAGGAAAAGCAGCTCTTGAGTATTTTCTGCAGACATTGAGGATGCTATTGAATTCTGGGGGGGAAATAATTATGCTGCAGTTCTGGGTGAGGAACCTAAGGATGCAAAGTTATGCTTTTCCCTGTCTATTATTTCTCTTTTTGTGTTCTCAAAAACCAGTCACTTAACCTATTGGTGTTCTTGCTATTGTTCTTTGCTTTTAATTCATTCAACAAATATTGACTCCTCTAATATGTGTTATCCCCCATATTAGGGGATGGAACTAACAAGACGAATCAGAAATGTTTATTGCTCTCAAGTTACTGACAGTCTAGTGCTGTGGAGGCCTGGAGGAAAAGATATAACTGGGGAGGTGAGTGGTTAGGGAAAACTTACTCCAGAAAGTATTCCTTGAGCTGATTAAGATAGGGTTTGAATCATGACTCTATCACTTCTCTGGGAATGGAGTGAATTCACTCAACTTCTCTTACTTAGCCGCAATGTCCCTTAAAGGGTTGTCCTGAGAATGAAATGAGATAATGCATAGGAAGAGCCGTGGGCTACACTGAGAGACAGTGCTGTTTTGGAGCTTGAGTAGCCCACTTAAATTCTCTGGGCCTCAATTTTACTCATCTGAGAAATGGAGCCTAGAGAATGTATGTCAAGCCATGTCCTTAAGGATGTTTTAAGGCTCGAGATAAATAATGGCTACATGGCAGGCTTGAGACGGCGTCCTCCGGCCTCTCCCCGCCCAATAAAGCCGGAGGCCCTCTTCTAAGCCCAATTCTAGTAGAGCGCTTCCCAGCGCTTCCTCCACCTGCGGCAAAGTTCCATTCGCTCACGCCCCCTCCCACGGAGGCGCAGTTACGTCAGCTACTCCCAGGGCGCCAGCGCCACAGCTATCTGTTGATTGGCGGGGCGGACTGTCACATTGAGGGAGGGGCTTCGGTGGCTGTACGGTTCCGCTCAAGGTTCCTCTGCTTAGAAAGTGGAGAAATTCCATTAGTAAGTAATCGGAAGTATCAAAAGGGCTTTTGAGCAAAGCTGAGACGCAGTCAGACTAGGGTGCGTGGGCTAAAGTGCTGCGGGAGAAGCAGAAGCCCAACCGGAGGCCTCTTTCCCGCCATTCATTCTTCCTAGGCGTCTGCACCGCCCCCTTCAGCTTCCTCTCCTCCAGTCAATGGGAACTGAGGGGTTTGAAGCCCCGCCCCACGTGCACCCTACACTTCCGTCGCACGTAGTAGAGCGCCTGCGCAAATGCGCGCGGAAGGCCGGGCCTCGCCGGCCCGC